CTGGTAAAATTCGCATTCCAGGGGCTAAATATCACGTTATTGAGGTCGCTTCAACCAGCGGACATGAAAAACAACCCGGGGCAACAGTGATAAAGTAGCCCAATTCCACGGGAAAACCGCAGACTTGGCAACACTGTGACGGATACAACGGACACGAGCGCTGTCTCGGCGTGACCACAACAGCTTGACGTTGTCTAATTTGGCATGGTCTCCCTGCTGCACTAATAGTAGTAAGGCTTTCCTCTGTGTTTACATATCCTTACAAGTACAATTTTAGCTGTATTATTTGTATCCCAACTGTTAGACAAAATTTACACCCCTGTTTAGAATTATCACATAATTTAAGATATGGGTAAGAAAATGTATATATTTATATCGTTTCATATAGTTAATATCACACGAAGAGTGCCGTTTTGTTTTTTTTCTCCAAAAGTAAGCATGATTACAAATGTGATATTGATTTTATACAACAGTTCAATAAAGAAGTAGTTCATATTAAGAGACTTAAGTTTTAGACACCATATTTCCTGTTTTTGCTCCATTTCTCCAACAAAAATAATTTCAAACACAACCACAGCGCTGTTTTGCGTCTCTGAGCAACAGGACTCTGTTTTGTCCCTGAATGAATCACCCCGTTTAAATGATTCGGTTCCAACGCAATGACTCCCTTATTAACAGTGACTTTATGTCACCTACTGGCGGTTTTAATTTAACATTTAAGGTACCTTTTCATTTTTAAAATAATTTCAAACATCAGTTTTCAATGTTTTATTTTTAAAATGTCAAAACATTATTTATGCATTTGTAATTGCAGGTTAAAGTATTTAATGTCCCTCAGAGCTGCATTAAACTGTGTAAATGCAATATAACAAAGAGTGAAAAATTTAAGGGGGTCTGAATACTTTCCGTACCCACTGTATATATATATATATATATTAGCAAATTTTTTATTTTTATTTATTATGATTGTATATCAGTTATCTTTTATTTTTTTTATACTAAGTAATGATTGTCTTGGAGTATGTGTATGTTTGACAGAATATCAAAAACTTCAGGAGTCAGCTGTCCACGGCAGTCCTTAAGATACCCGCACAATAACACACTCAGCAAAATATCGTCTAATTATCGTTATCGATAAAATCACAGAATATTATCGAGATATAATTTTTTGTCAATATCGCACACCCCTAATTTGTTATTTAATATAATTATTTATTGATGATAATTGTTTAAATTTAATATAATAATTAATACTTTTAACTCTTAACCATTTTCTTAACAATGGTTTAAAGGCTGAAATGTATAGTTTATCATTTTATAAAACTTAGTTTTTGTGAAAACTTGTATCTGAACTTTAAAATTATGCTTTTTACAGTAATTTTACAGTTTAATATGGTACTACATTGCCCTACCCCGCTCATATGGTATTAATGGTGCATAAAGAAGATCTGTAAAGTTGCAAAGACTAAAGTCTCAAATCCAAAGAGATATTCCTTATAAAAGTTAAGTCAACCACACCTACCTAAAATGGCTCTTTCTAACACGCCCCCACATGTCTACGTCACGATGTGGGAAGATTTGCATAATGCTGCATAACTTTGCGAAATGTTCGCGCAAAGAAAGAAGGCGTAACTTTTATTCTCCACAGCAGGGAAGTAAGTTTTTTTTATATTTAAAGAATTTGCCATTGATGATTCAAACGCGAGTTTTGAGCAGTGTAGAGTAGCGCTTGTTTGTTGTTTCTCAGATCACAAATGCAGACATGGTTTTATGTTTACGCAGCGCGATACGTAAAAAGACAGTATAAGTCATTATAATCAGTAATTATGTCCCCACTGGATGCAACAAATGCCTCATTTGTAATGGTTTTTATTGGTTTTGTCTCGTCCTGCTGGGAGACGGCATCACAGTATGTTAAGGGGCGTAACATTTCCGTCACACGCTTGAGGCATTCGGCCAATAACAGCGCACTAGATTGCTGGCCAATCAGAGCACACCTCGCTTTTTTAGAACGATGAGCTTTGTAAAAATCGACGCGTTTCAGAAAGGCGAGGCATAGAGGAGAAACAATAATGTACATTATATGGAAAATAATGTGTTTTTTTTAACCTTAAACCGCATAAACGCATTGCATTACACCAAATACACAAAATAATGTTCTTTTTAGCAACGTCATATGACCCCTTTAAAAAAGGTCTTAAAAAGTCTTAAATTTGAGCTTAAAAATCCTGCAGAAAACCTGAGAGGAAAGAAAATAAACTTTTTTGTGATACAAGAAAGTCTTAATTATGATTTCAGGAGGTCTTAAATTTGGGGATGGAAAGACAAGAATTGTCATATAGCTTAATGTGATGATTAAACTTCAAAAGGCCGTGATTTCATTAAATAAACATGATCGCTAATAATTGATAAATAATTTAAGGCTGAAATGTGAAGTTTGTTTTATAAAACTTTGTTTTTGTGAAAACCTGTATATGAACTGTAAATCATGCTTTGTACAGTCTTCTTAGAGTTTAATATGTAACCATAGACATTGCCCTTCCCCACTCGTATGGTATTAGTTTTATTTGTGCAGGTCTCAAAAAAGGTCTTAAAGTCTTAAATTTTAGCTTAAAAATCCTGCAGATACCCTGTAAATTGGGGTGCCATTTTAGATAAAGCTGATGAAGTGACTGATGCCTTTTATTTTTTTTTATATTGTAGCACTGGGAGTTATTCAGCCCAGAAGCTGACCTTCAACAAACTTTTGGAGAGTTAGAAAATGTTCAGGAATTGCAAGCCAGGGGGACTTTTAATACTTAATGACAGCTAATGTTTACTGCATAAATATTTGTACGTTTTTACTCTTTAAATAAACCAAGTGTGATTATACATTGCATTTTCAGTTATAGATCAGTACCCCACTGATGCTTATCTTTATGTTTTAGGGGTTTGCGGTGCTCCTGGGAAGGGTTAGCATTGCTGGACAGCATCTTACCCACAATGCTGCTTGAATTAGAGATGTTTTTCAAAAAGCAATACACCAGCAGAAAGACAGACCTCCAGAGAGACAGATGACAGTTTGCAACAGAGAAATATGAGAAAGAGATTGCACACAAGGCAATAGGTAATAAGGTAAAAATGAAACAAACTCCCATGAGGAGAAACACGTATTCTTGAAGAATGAACATGGGTCAATGACGTGACACTTTTTTGTTATTTATTAATTTATTCACAAATACAGTGTGTTCTTTTCTATGGTGAACATGTTTAATTTCTGAATTAAGGGTAAATATATAACATAGGGTAAATATGTGAGAATGATATGATCTTCATATAATATTGAAGAAAAAAATTTAATCCTTGAATGGAAAACAATGTTTAATGTTCGCGTGAAATAGAAAATTACCCTGTTATGAATTCATGTGAACAATTCTCCTGTGCATATGCTTCATTTTTTTTAAAAAGCTTTTTGGCATTAATCAAAATGTCATAACTTCCATTGAAAACGACAGATTTCTCTCTGGTGACGTATGAAGGACATCTCCAATCATTTACTGTAGTCCACTTAAACAACACCCACAACTCAAAGTCCAATCAACAGCTATACATTTTTTTTTCTTTGGTATTAATTTGTTGTACTCTGATGTACGTTACAGCATGGAAGGGGAGATCTGCTGCTACTTCCATTTAATTACTTTTTATATTGAAAAATAAAAAAGAATATATGATAAACTTAAGATGTGTACAGTTCAAGGTGTATGGAAAAAATAGTATTTTTACTTGGTTACATCACATGACACACATTCAGGAATCTGTAAAAAGATGAACACACTAAACTAGATGATTGCCTTCTCTGATTTATGACATTTGATGTGACGTTATCCCCTATTATCTTGAGTAATTTGGCATAGAAGTGATTTCTCATCATTGCATCTGCCATTTGAAGTTGCTTTTTTCCAAACCACCCACATTATCAGTTAGAGAGAAGGTCACTGAAGAATCATGAATTATTTATTTTGCTCCCTATTCACAGCTCTTATCTCTTGTTTAGGCACAATTAAAATATATTTAATTAGCTTAGTTATAATTTTGAAAGTTAGTAATGTAGTTCAGATAACATTTTCAAGCTATTCATAACAGAAAACGCTTCCAACTTAAACGATCGCTTCGCTATCCATGGTACTGAACGCCTTCTGCGTAACGCTACCAAACAAATAGTTATGCAAATATCCGTGTATGCATTAAAACGTTTGTGCTATGCTTACTTCTCCTACAGTTAAAGTAGGTTATCATTTCTCTGTAGGCATATTCATCCCTGGATTCATGAATATTCAAAGTCTAAAGGGAATTCATCTCTTTCGTGATTTTCAACACAGCTGCATCGTGTTGTATAATGTATATTATGCAAAGCGTGACTGTACGGTATTGTCAGGGATTCACACATACGAGTGCGTGGGCGCGTTTTCTTACTAATATGAGAGAATTTTACGTTAGCATAGCGATGATGACTCGAGCCACTGCAGATGATGAGGATGGCTTCGCCACCCACACCTTTCTTCCCGTTGTTCACCCATAAATGGTAATACTGTGAGTACACTGGTTTCTCCTTAAAGCAGAGTCGTGATGCTGTCTGTCTGCAAAACTGAGGTGAGGCTGGGGACACGGTATAAATATAGCTCGGCTCATGAATATTAATTAGGTGACGTTACATTTTCTAATTTATTCTTCCTGATTTGTGTCACGATCCTTCAGAAATCATTCGAAAATGTTGATTTGGTTGATCAGGAATCATTTCTTATTAGCAGTGTTCGAAATTTCTACAACTGGAGGGGACATATTGTTTGCAAGGACCCTGAGTTCAAGAACAAACTCATGTATTTTGAGAAAAAAACGAGTCAATGTTTTTAGAGACAACTTTTGTTATTGTCTGTAGTACAAGACAAAGTGGAAATAAATTTGAGGTAACGGGTATATTTTCAAGAAAAAATGCGTGTCGCTGTGTCTTTTATAGTTAGTGGAAGAAATGTGGAAACAAATTTGAGGTAATACATTCACTATAAAGAAATAATGCATACTCGCTTTACAAAATGTCCCTGTTGGAAAACGCAGTTTAAGCTGGTACACTCTTAAAAATAAAGGTGCTTCAAAAGGTTCTTCAAGCGATGCCATAGAAGAACCTTTTTGTCTAAATGGTTCCATAAAGAACCTTTAACATCTGAAGAACCTTTGTTTCACAAAAGGTTCTTTGTGGCAAAAGAAGGTTCTTCAGATTATAAAAAGGTAAGAAAGAGATGGTTCTTTAAAGAACCATCTCTTTCTTACCTTTTTATAATCTGAAGAACCTTCTTTTGCCACAAAGAACCTTTTGTGAAACAAAGGTTCTTCAGATGTTAAAGGTTCTTTATGGAACCATTTAGACAAAAAGGTTCTTCTATGGCATCGTGAAGCACCTTTATTTTTAAGAGTGTAGGTGCGTTTTGGAACTGTTTTAGCTATAGTCAAAACTAACAGTTTACACCAGCTAATGGCCAGTTTACACCAGTTACACTGAAAAAAATGGTAACCTGAAAACGGTAACATCTAGGCTATAGGCATATTGACTGGTTTTCAAGTCAACTATATGAATTAACACCAATGAACCAGCCTAAATGCATTCATTTATACCAACAAAACTCATGTTTTTCTGGTAGAAATAGCTCTTTAAGGTAACAATTGAAGGTTACCACTTTCTACAGTGTGGTTAACCAGCCACAGTGTTCTAAAAAAACAACTAATATGTCCAGCCAATAGCTGGTTTGTTGCTGATCCACCAGTTTCTCAACTAGGTTACATCAGATAATGACCACTTTTGACCAGCTATACCATCTTAAACCCGATTTTCCAACAGGGTTATAATAAATACATTTCACAAATATTTTGTCAATGTGTAGAATCTGTCCTCTGGTCCAGCCAGGGACTTATAGAATATAATAATTCTTACATAGTTGAATAATTATTATTCATAGGTTTGAAACAGAGTCCCTAGCGTTACTCTATTACTGTATTTGACACCTCTCAATAGGTGTACTTCGTTTAGGGGTGCTCGGGCCCATCACGCGCCGCAGATCGCTACTAAAACTCGGTCTGCGGGCGAGCGGATGCACCGCGCCACACTCGGGGGGCGCCGAGCACAACTATGCGCCGGTAATGACTGGGTTTTACGCTGACCAGCTCGTCGTTTTTACTCTCATATTTCATGTGCTTTGTTTTATGGAGCTGAGGCGCGGAGAAAGAATCCAGAGATCTCCGGGGTTTGCGTTCAGACGACGAGGGTCGCTTTCCAGTGCTGGCGGAGCGCACTACTCGCGCCTTTGGCTGTGGAAGTCTCCAGTGCGACGCGCACTGCAAATGCATATCAACTGTTGCGGTGCCTTCGGAATGATAGCTGCAGCAGGAGAGCGTCGCGGTGCCATCAACTGAAAGAAGAGCTTTATCAGTTGTGTTCACCTTAATGCCCCTTGCTGGTATCATCCAGAAAGGCTGGTGCTGTGGTCGGCAGGACGGCGGTAGGGGACGCGCAGCACCCCGTGCTCTCGGTTCAGTGAGCTGTACGCGGTTCCCGCAGTGCTTTTTATATGCTAATGATGGATGTGTGGTGCGTCATTCAACGCTTTGGGTTCGTCTGGTGAATCTGAACAATTCTGCTGCCTATTTAAGGTATTGCCCACCGCAGTGTTACTTGGATCTGGGCCATTGTTATGTAGAGCTACAGAGTATTGTCAGTTAAATGCAGCTATAATACCGACTTAGATCCTACTTATCATTACTGATGAAGTAAAAAGTATTAATTTTCTAGCTTAATTTGGACAGAAAGATGCTTGACAAATTTAAGAATACTGTAAAAACTGGTAACCTGCTGTTATCCGTTTCTCCCATAAAATGAATTTTGTTTGTAAATTAATGTTTATAATGAGGGTATATATATATATATATATATATATATATATAGAAATGAGAATGACAACATCGTTTTATAAAGTATATGCGTTCATATGTGCTTTATTTTCACTGGAGGAAACCTGTGTGAAGGGTGAACGCAGCGAAAACTTAGGCTACAGTAGATGGGGAACCGATTGCTCCCCCATGATATTTTGTAAACGGCATTTATGACAAAGAACTGCACAGATGCAGATATTATAACAATCTATAGATAAACACACACCTTGTCCTCTGTTTCTCGCTCTGGAAGCCCCCCTAGCCCCCCTAAAAATGGCTTAGCGACGCCCATGTTCCAATGTTTTTGACTGCATTTATTACATCAGAAATATAGTAAAATCAGTAATATTGTGAAATATTATTACAATTTCAAATATCAGTTTTCTGTTTGAATATATTTTAAAATGTAATTTATTCCTGTGATGCAAAGCTGAATTTTCAGCATCATTACACTTCAGTGTCACCTGGTCCTTCAGAAATCATTCTGATTTGCTGCTCAAGAAACATTTCTAATTATTATCAATGGTTTTCCAACCAAGATTTGCATGTCACAAAGAAACATAACTAAAAGCCTGTCTGGAACGGTCCACACCGCTCAGGTCTGGAATGCTGTAGAAAGGCAAGCAAAGTGGTACGGACAGTTAAAAGTCCCAGTGCTTTTGTGCTAAATATAAGCACTCTTGTAACACTGCTCAAATAATTAAACAAATGAACCAGAACCAATTGTTGTGTAATATTGTTTTTGAAATACATACGTCAATGTGCAGCTCTCAGTATAGAGGCACGAGTTTTTTGTGGGGGGGCGGGCATGGGCAAAAGTTAGCGGGCACTAGGCTAACTAATGGACGGAGTCCAGTGGTGTAGCACAAATCCGCGGCCCCCAACAGCGAACTCAAGGGTTGGGGGGCTGGATACGTTGCAATATTGTAAATATTTGTTTTAAACCAGGAAGGCGAGCCAATGGATATCACACAAGCAACGTGCAAACTTTGCGCAAGAGTTATGCGGTGAACCTCTTAATCTCAGTCGATTCACTAGAAAGTGAAAGTAAAAACTGACGGCGCTTTCGGCATCTGACGCTGCATTAACGGCGCATATTCTCTCAGAGTGACGACGAGAGATGAATCTCCTTCATATGCTGATAACGGTATATAGCAGGGGTTCTCAAAGTCTATATTCAAAGGTCCAAATCTGAATTTTCATCAGTG